CCAGAGCCAGACAAAGAATATGGGAGTCACTGTTAGTTGAAACACCTTAGTGTGTTCAGAGCCAAATGTAAACTCCACCTATTTGCCCACATTGGTATCCTCCATTTCTACAGAGTCATTCTTTAAACAAAAGTCAAAGCAAAAATAAAACCAAAGCCTGCTTGATAGGAGGGAAGGAAACGAGGGAATATAGTCATCTTTGGAAAAATGGGAAGTGCTCAGTGACAAAGGCCATATACATAGACTCATAACTGAATGGGTGGCTGAACTGGTCTATTATCTTAAAAATAAGGTAACTGATAGCTGACACTCTTTACTCTTCTATTGAAAAAAAATGAAACAATTACTTTTCTCGCTAATGGCTGCCTCTAGCACTCCACCAGATTTTCTTTCCTTTATTTCAAAGGAAAGTCTATATTGTGTCTTAGCAGACCATGACTAAAATTTGGGGGTTATGGAATTACTTTATGAAGTCTTCCACTAGGATTAAATATCCTGGGCCAGATTTCAAAGTTTGACCCTGGCAACTGCACAGAAATATTCATAGGTACCCAACTTAAGTGTTCAAAATCTTGTTGCCTAACTGTCCATGTGTGCATGAAAGTCCCTTATTTGCATGCACACTTCAGGGATTTACATGCAGAAATTAGGCATGTACAAAGGTAAGTGTACGATTTCATCCCTGAAAATCTCACCTTTGGTGTCTTTTATGAGCAACTAGTTTAAAAGAGATCCGGGATTTTGTAGACTTTGTAATGATATGTCCCTGTTAGTCTCATGGGAGTTGTTACTGTCTGCTCATATGGTTGTATTAGAATCATAGAATATCAGGGTTGGAAGGGAACTCAGGAGGTCATCTAGTCCAACCCCCTGCTCAAAGGGGGACCAATCCCCAATTTTTGCCCCAGATCCCTAAATGGCCCCCTCAGGGATTGAGCTTACAACCCTGGGTTTAGCAGGCCAATGCTCAAACCACTCAGCTATCTGTCCCCTGCCCCCATCTTGAGGGTGCACAGCCTCCTGGCTAGAGATACCCATCCATCTGTGCCTTCCATTGATTTTCTTCTCATCTACTTTCACTCACATACAATACTACCCCCTTTCCCCTTCCAAAAAGGCTATTTCTCTCACACCCAGAGTCCCATTCTTCTTAGCAAGGTTAACCAGACAACTAATCTCTGAACAAACACTTGAATTTCATCTATCATTGTTTTCTGACTCTGGGTTTAATAGAGGTCAGAAAAAGTGATTCTTTAAAGCGATCACAAGCTTATTTTTCCAAAAGCACATCAGTAGATTAACATTTTGCCAAAGAAAATAAGAAATACAGTATTTCTTTTAATACATTTCAGCTAAATAAAGTCTTAAGACTACATGGCTTGGCTCAGATAGGGTGTATTCAGCATAAGGTACAACTCATGTAACTTCTGCTATCTAAAAATTCAGCTTAAATGAGCTCCATTTCAGCCGTGCAATTTATTCCACACCTGAGGTGAAGTAGCTCGTCCTTTGCTCTCTTCTCTGATGTAGAGCCATTAGAGAGGGAACTGCCAATGTGTTTGTGCAAATCTATTTGCTTATATAAAGATCCCATTTAAACATCTCCACCCAAGAAATTCATGTTGATTTTGGACAATCCCTGGACGATTTTATTCCATAAAAATAAATAAATAATCATATAAACCAGTGACACAAGCCTGCTCCCATAGATTTCTTTCCATTATAAAGGTAACGTTTGCACTGGAGAGACACTTTGAGATAACATGAGACAAGGACAATTTTATATGGGGACAAAAAAAAAAGTCAATATATATGGGGATACATGATGATGTGGGATGGTGTAGAAGTCTTGGAGTTTGGAATGTGTGGATTATTCATGATTGGCAAAGCCGCAAGTGATTTCAGCATCTGCCAATAGGGGTTTTATGGGTCCAATCCAGTAAATCTCTTATTTATTCAAATGCTATTAACCATTGATTTGCGGCCATTCTTATTCATCTGTGAAAACAGCTGTTGAAATCAGCAGGATTCCATACTGGCGCACATCTGCTTGTGGGATCAGGGCCATAGTTATTTTCCACGATGAAAGCAGTTTCATATTTCTCTCTTGTACTATTATGTTTAGAGATGAAAGTTACTAGAATAATCACTGCTGTTAAACAAGGGAAGAAAATCTCATAGTTTCAAACTGGATTGTTCTATAGGTCACAGTTCAATTTTCTATTGCAATTAATAGGTGTTTTACCTGAGTAAAGAGTGCAGGATCAAAGCATAATCTATAATTTATTGAAAGTTAGCATATGGATCCTACAAAACTCAAATACATGCTTATCTTCCCATGCAGTGTTTGTCATACTTGTGTCATTTGGCCTCACAATATACCAGTGTTAGAAAAGAAAAGAACATGCTTGCCATCTACAATTAGGCATCTAAATAAGTGGCCATCCTTTCAGTGGTTCTGAGCAGCCACAGCTCCTACTGAAATTAATAAGAGCTGTGGGTACCTTAGAAGCTTATAGGTCACTTATTTGGGTGACTAAATATGGATTTAGGTGCCTATCTTCAGGAAGACTAGCTTGAAAATGTTGGCACTATGTTTGCCCATAGTTGTTGATGTATTACACAAGAGTTTTTAGTATGTCCATTGTGTCAAGTAATGTACATACGCATGGTGAGCAACTTTCCCTGACCTGAAGTTTGTAATGTAGAAAGACACAGTATCTGAACCCCAAATGCTCAAAAACCATGACTCCTGCCCCACAGAAAATCATGAGATAAATTTATTATTGTTATTATTTATGCATGTTTTCTATTTGCCATCTGTTTTTTTAACTTTGTGGTACATATTTTTGAGCTTTTCTCTACAATAATGAGAGTTACAGATTTATTTTTATTGTATTCTATTTTTTAAAATGAAAGCTGAGATTCCCATAAAATCACTTCTTTCTAGGTACCGGGGCTTTAAGTAAAACGTCCAATATTACAAGACTCTCAATAAAATCCAGAAAGTTAGCAACACAAGACAAATAAAGGACGGGATCAGAAACAGGCTTAGAGAGGGAAACTGATTCACCTAAGGTCCCACAGTAGGTTAGTGGAAGAGCCTGGAATAGAACTCCACTCTACTGAGTTCTAGTGAAGTGTCATGCCCTAACCATGAACCATACTGCTATTCTGAATTTGACATGTCCTCTGTGTACTTTTACTGAGATGAGTGAGGTGGCCAGCTATCTCCTGCATGAAGTTAGGCTGCCAAATAAACAAATAAAAAGTAGTAAAGACAATTTTTGCTAAAAACAGAAATTAAGATGAAAAACAATGTTTTGGCCTTAGGCCCTTATTTGAAGTTTTGGAAAACAGAACAAGCTTTTTCATTTTCCATTACCTGCAGAAAGCCTCATAGGCAAAACATTGCTTCTCATCTAATTTTCTGTCCCTCACATGTGTTTTAATAAAACCTTTTTTCTTTTTTCATTTAAAGCAACCTAATATAAATCATACCAGGACGTGACCAATAACAGTTTTACTAGGAGTATTAGTTTGGTTGAACAAAGCCCTTTCTGTGGCAAACTCTGTGGTAATTTGCTTGAGGTTTGGTGGGGGGGGGGAGATATTCGGATACATTATTTTCTTTTAACAATTATCATTTTGCATCAAAAGGTCATTTTATATAGGCAACCAAAAAGGTCGTCTAGTACAGTACCAGCTCGTTCCATCTAGGAAAGTGGCTACTGCATTAATGTGAAAAAATTTTAGTATTTAAAACTGCTGACTGTGATTGGCAAGAAATTTACTGTACATGGATTTAAAACTTTGATGTCAGCATTAGCAGTATTGTGGACTAGATTCTCATTTATGCTCAACCCCCTTTATATTGTGGAAAGGGCCTTTAAAGAGAGGGTATAAATGTCATTTATTCTATGTATAGTATTGTAAATGAGAATTTGGCCCTGTCTACGTTTCTCTCTCTCTCTCTCTCTCTCTCTCTCTTTGGTACTTAAATATATCTGAGTGCCTCACAGTCTTTAATGTATCTATCCTCACAAAACTCCTTCATGGTAGGGAGATGCTACTGTCCCAATTTTACAGATGGGAACTGAGGCACTGAGACACTTGCCTGGGCTTACACAAAGTCTTTGGTGGAGCAGAGAATTAGCAGTGATTGGTTTCAGAGTAACAGCCGTGTTAGTCTGTATTCGCAAAAAGAAAAGGAGTACTTGTGGCACCTTAGAGACTAACCAATTTATTTGAGCATGAGCTTTCGTGAGCTACAGCTCACTTCATCGGATGCAGTGATTGGTGAACTCTAAGAACTTGTGTAAATATATTTACAAGTTTATTAAAGTGGACTCAAAACAATCTGTGTATACCTCTCTCTTGGTGTGTGCGCGAGCACCTCTGTGTTTTTAAATGTGAGATTTTGGTAGGGTTATTTTGAAGGTGGAGAGCGTGATGTTGAAGAAGTGGATTTTATATTATGCACTGAAGGCCCGAAGGTTCGTGATCCTTCTGACCTTTTCTGGAAACAAGTTCCACAACTGTGGTCTGTTTGGAGAAAAAGTTCTATCTTGAGTGTGTTAGTTTTGATCCTTAGGTTTCTGGTTCCATTGTTCATGTGGTACACCGCTGTTGTGGTAGGTCATGATCACACAGGGTAAATTGTCCCTGAGGAACCTGAGTCAGTCCATAGAGGACTTTGAAGATCAGGACCAAAGCCTTGAATTTGATCTTGAATTGAATGAAAAGCCATTGAAGAGAGAGCATCGTTCTGGGGTGTTGTGCTCCCAGCTCCCTGGGTTGCTGAGTCCTTCCCTTTCCTCAGTTAGATGCAACATTTCACATCCTGTGCAGGTCATAATGAAGGTCTATGTTTATCAGTGGGTGATCACTCAAAATTACAAATTATTTTCATTTCAGAGAGTTTCCTAGAGAAGTGGGGAGAGATGAGTTCGTGGAAATGCCCTTAAATAAAAGAAATGTGTATTTGTTTTATTTTTCAGACACGGATATTAAAGAGCTAGAGGATGTCTTTGGACTTCACGGACAAATTGAGCACAAGTTGGACTTCCTCAGAAAGAACGTGCCAAAAGATATGAAGCTTGTGCTGATTGGTCATTCAATTGGTTGCTACATCACCCTTGAAATGATGAAGCGGGCATCGGAACTCCAGGTATGTCAGCCTTGGGGAAGGGAAGTGGTGTTGCTCAGCAGAGCATCCCCCACGCTTTGCATTTGATTAATCAACAAAGACAATAATATGATTCCACATCCTTTGTGTAGAAGCAGCATCCCCCCTACTTTCAGACCAAGTCTTATTAAAGTAAATGACATTCAGTTACTTTTCGTGAGTGTCTGACTCCAGAAAAGAAGAGAGTGATACAGAAATATATGCTCTGATTTTTCCACTGTAAAGCACCATGCGTAGCAATTTACACCCCTGCAAAAGAGGTATAGGGAACTGCTGCCAACTCAGAATAGTAGGAATTCCCTATTTGTGAGATGAGGTAGGTATTTGTGCAGGATTGATCTATCTCAAAGGATGCTATGAACGTTAATTAACTTGAGTAATCTGGTTTGGTAATTCAGTAGTAAATGTCATTATTGGCAGTGATGCTGTTTGATATGTTTACATTTTAATAATATTATGCAATATATAATTTGAATGGAAGATCACATAACATATATGCTGCTGCATGTCATGGATAAGGTGTTTTTTTTTTCATTAAGAGGGATACTACTAGCTAGTTTCAGGATCAACATGCACCTAATTAATGTGTTTTGAAAAGCCTATGGTAATATGTGTCAAAATGTTTGCATAATTTTTCAAAATTTCCTTGAATATTTATTTATTATTTAAACATCCACTACCAGTGCCATGAATTCAAATAATAACCAATAGAATAATAGCCTAGTAAAATGAGGGTCTGATTCAGTCTCAAATTGCTACTGTAATATAAATGTTTAAGAATAAGAATACTTAGGGCTTCCATAGTGCTTTCATAACATCAGAGCAATCTGCAAACATTAAACCTCACAAAATCCTAGTAAACCAGAAAAGTAAATATTTCCATTTTACAGAAAGAGAAACAAAGGCAGAATAGTTAACTGATTTGCACAAGGTTAGAAGGAGGTAGTGATGGTACTCAGACTGAAATTCCAGAGTTCCTTGCTAATAACCCTGTGCTGAGACCACTAGATATTTGATATCTGCATTGTGTTATTGCATGAGAACCCAAAACTCAAACTAACTAATAACAAAAATTGACATTTTTTAAGGGAAGTGTTATGGGTCAATCTGCTCTTATTGTCTGAAGATGAATAAAATGCTAAATGTAAATGAAAAAAAGCATAAATTGTGAAAAATGAATTAGAGATTTAAACATTTTTAATTATATAAAGTGTCAGTAGTAGTAGAGTTAGGACAGTCTTTCTTTTTAAATGAAATGCAAATGTACAAAAATTCTTGCTTTTCTGGCATAGACCTAGTTTAAGCAGAGAAGTTTGGATGTGTGAGAGGGGGAAGATCTCATATCTGGTGTTCACATTTTCCTTTATATATCAACATTTTCAGTGAGCTCCTTTGTGTCTAATGTTTTCTAGATAGCAAGTGACTTCAGGCAGGGACATTCCTTTGAATGTGAGTGCCTAGCACACTGTCAACTCTTAGCAATAAATCACAAGAATTAATAATAGTGAGATTCTTCACTTCCCCTCCTCCCAAATATTCACCTCTTCTTTTATATTAACTCCCTACCGGGACGGGAGCAGGAATGCAATGCTCATATATATATATATCCACTCACTTCTTCGTAACCATGTCCCCTCCCATTCAAGCTTTCCCCCCCTCTAAAAGAAACAGCAATTTTTTCAAAAACTGAAACCTTAACTTAACCCAATCTAGTTCCACAGGCATAACTCATTCTGTGATTATAAACAAAGTTTTCTGAAGGAACTTGTGTAACTGTTTTTTTGTTTGTTTGTTTGTTTGTTTTGCAAGAAGGGAGTGTTCTAGAAAATATCAATTGCAGTAATTTGTCCAAAAATATCAACTTTTCTTTGCTCTCCATATGTATGATTTTATTACTCAAATTGTTTTATCTGGTTTCCATTAACTATGAATTGTTGAGTAATTTTTGTTGCACCTGGCCCGGTGGATACTGGCAGCATGATATTTGTCAATGTGTTGAAACGTAGGTATCTTTAGGACACTGAAACTGCACTGTGCAATGTGTGCTTGAAGTTAATCTATGACATGCTACATTTAAGATGCATTTAACAATAAAAAAATATTTGTGTAAGCCAGAGTGTTGTGCAACCTTTGTCCTTTTGCCAAAAATAAGTTAACTTATGTTTTATAATGTATGAAGTGTGATAATAAGAAACTTGTGTTTCCATCTCCCTTTTTATTTTTACTGGAATATTTGATTCCCACAAGATTTCAAGCACATATGTGTAGTTTAGTAGCTAGATCATTTGGTTTTATTTTTGTATAGTTCTTTTGTGATATTCCTTTATTGTATAAGTTTTTGGTTTGGTCTTAAATTCACTGCTTTTTATGAACCTTTCATTGCTCATGTTTTACTGTTCTGATCTGGAGCTTAATGTGTTGTATATATTCTAGCAGTTCACTAGTTTTTATATCCTTAGTGAATATTTAGCAGGTTTAATTTTTGGTACTTAGTTTAAAACACTGTCATAATCTAATCAAATATTGTCCTCTTTGTGAACAGTGATGGGAGAAACCTGATAGAATATGCTGGCAGGCATGAAAGGGAAGAAGTGAAATCTCAGTAGCATTGTCCTGCAGCCTCTCTTGCACTCCATGGTTGCCCCTCAGCCAGAACTCTGGAGGCTTTGAGCTGTGCTAGAGTTTGACATCAGAGCTAGGAATGGTATGGGGATATTGTCAGGGATCACCCTATCGCCACAGCTGCATCCCCTGCTGGCCTCAGTCCTCTTGTCAGAATTCCAAGTAGGAGTTTCTCTCTGTGTCCTCTGTGTGACTGCTACTGTGTAGTACGGGAGACTCTGCCAATGGTATCTCCAATGAGAAAAGGGGCAATGCAGGGGTGGGAATAACCCTCCAAATGACTGCATTTTGCCCTTTTCTCCAGATGCTGAGTATCAGTATAAATGGATAGACAGTTAAATGAATGGCCTGGTTTATGGGTATGTATTTAAGAAGAGTCAAAGAGTACCCAAAGCAAGGAATAGGCTTTCCTTGTTAATGGATGTACGTATAAGTCTAAACAAATAAATATTTTTTTGAATTCTGCTAATCTCTTGGCCTCAGTGATACCTTGTAGTGGTGAGTTCCACAGGTTAATTGTGCACTGGGTAAAAAGAAAAATGTGATTCCTTTTAGCAGTTTGTTCTGCTGCCTCTTTTTTTTTTTAATTTGGATGGCCCTATATTCTTGTATTGGGGGGGAGAGAGAAAATGGGACAAGCTAATTTACCCTCACTGTGCCAGTCATTCCTTGGTGTTCATAGATTATAGGGCCAGAAGGAAACCACTGTGATCATTTATTCTGACCTTCTGAGTGACACAGACAATAGAACTTCTCTTTGAACTAGAACAAATGCCTTTACCATGACCCTTCTTGGTAGTCTTCTCCAGACAAAACAGACCCAGTCTTTTCTCTCGTGTGTGTGTGTGTGTGTGAGAGAGAGAGATGATGATGATGATGACCAGAACTGAACTCAAGTTTGAGGGCATCATTGATTGAAAACACTGTTATCCCATTCCATGTGCAAAGTACACCCCGCTCTTTATCCTGAGTGGTTACAGCTCATTTAGAATCCAGCAGCATGTCTGAGTAGTTCAAATTGTTTCTTCCAATGTATCTTCCATTACATTAGTCAACAATGAATTCACCCACCCTGATGCAGTCCAATAACCCTGCTTTGTTGAGTCTCTCTGACGTTTCTCCAGTCTTGACTAACTTAAGTAATTTTGTGCCATATGCAAATTTTGTTGCAGTTCATCCCCTTTTTCAGATCATTAATAAAATATCAAACATAGCTAATATGGATTGTTGAGCACCTCACTGTTACCTTTTGCAATGTTGAAAATTGATCCTTTATGCCCATTCTTTGTTTTCTGTCTCCTAACTAGTTTCTAGTGCATGAGTGAACTTTGCCTCTCACCCCATTATTAGTTACTTTTCTTCACAGTCTTGGGGACTTAATGGTCACAGAGGGAGGGATTGTATCTAAGACTTTGAAAATCCATATGCATCATTTCAACCAAATCTCCTGTGTCCATTATTTATGTATGTATTTTATTTATTTTTAATGCATCCAGAAAAATCAAGTAGATAAGAGAGGCACAATTTTCCTTTACAAAAGTCACTCTCTGATTATTCATGCTCATATTATGCTCATATAGATATTTTATCATTCCCTTTAATTTACCTGGTACTGAAAGAAGGCTTATTGGTCTACAATTCCAAGGTTGCTACTATCTTCTTTTTTCTTTTTCTAATAATGGGATATATATTACTGTCCATTCTTCCAGTTTAGAATCTGCCTTTAAGCCCAAGGAATCCAGCAGTTCTTAAAGTTCTTGAGAGCATTTAGGATTAAAATCAAACTTGGGCAACCAAAATGAATTCTTTCAAGTGAAATCTTCTGTATCCAAAGATTGGCCAGTCCAGCTGCCATGTAAGACAGAATGCCTGGTGTCACCAACATTCCCTTCAAATCTCAGTCCCTCCTCGATATATCTTTTCCTCTTGTATGTGCCTGCTCACAGCCATTTTGTGACACATTTCATTGGAAGAGGACACCTTTGCCCATGCCCCTTCTGATGAGACCTCCAGAACCTCCTTAGCCTTTGCCACTCTCTTTAGTGGTGTAGGGTTTTACACTCTCTTAGGGCAGACTGTAGCAAATTGCCTGTACAACAGACTTTATTAAAAAATATGGAGAAAATTATAGTAAAAGAAAATAAATGGTTTGCATAACAGTATGTATAGATTTGCACTCATCAGCTAAGTGAAAGCATCAATTAGAAATAAAAGAAGCAGATGGGGAAAAAGGGGGAAACAGCAATTAATTTAAATTAGAATTCAATGAATTTAAATTAGAATCTATAAAGTATAGAAAATTGGGAAGCTGAAGATATCAGAGAAAAATGAATGGCTGGGAAGGCTAAGGCCAATAAAGA